ATGAAGGCGGAATCCTCGCAGGGAAAGAAGTCGTTGAAGACCCTGGGGCCGTGGCCGGAACCGTAGGGGCATAATCCCCGAGGGAGCCATCGAAGGCATAGACCCAATGGTAGATTTAGGGTTTTATTTGATCTCCCCATTGTAAGGGCTTTATAGGCCTTGTAAATGTACCCTTGTGAGCAATATATATAGAAGGCTTTTCGTTTTTCGTCACTTCTCTTTTTTCCTTTGCCTTTTAGTAATCCGCGATGTTTTTTGACAATTGGTCCGAGATTTTCGGGCCTTAGGTTAGACCCTTGGGCTTTCGCCATTGCAGAGCGATTCGTGATGGTCGAAGGTCGACCGTTTGGGGCCCAGCCCTGGAGTCGGGTTCTCGACTCAAATTTGCCAGCCTTTAGGTTTAGAAACCGATCCTTAGATTTTTTGGGCCGGCTGTTGGGTAAGCGTGACTTCTAATCGGTCCTGAGCCTCTTTTAAGGTGGCAACGATGGCTCTTACATGTTGGGTCGCTGCGACCTTTTAATTTAAGCTGGCTTCAGCGGCTCTTACGTGTTGGGTCGGTACGACCTCTTGGTATAGGCTAGCGACAGTGGCTCTTGCGCATTTGCCCTTAGATTTTTAGTTAACTGTTTCGGGCTTAGTCTCCGAGTCGGATTCTGACTCGAGCTCATTGACCCTTAAGTTTTTGAATTTCAACCCGGCCCTTAGGCTCTTACGCATTGGGTTGGTACGACCTCTAATTTTAAGCTGGTGATAATGGCTCTTACGCACTGGGTCGGTACGACCTTTAAATTGAGGTTGACGACAATGGCTTTTACGCACTGGGTCGGTACGACCTTTATATTGAGGCTGGCGACAGTGGCTCTTACGCATTGGGTCGGCACGACCTCTTCGTGTAGGCTTTGTTTTTCCCTCATTAAAGACTTTTGAAGTTTTTATGTTCGCCCGACTCTTCGACGATTTGGTAAGAACCTCGATTGTGAGCCGTTATATGGCAATAGATGAGCACCTCGGGAGGTTACGCTCGATGGATGGATGATTTTGAAGCCTGTAGTTTGGAGCTGATTTGATTGAAGCTCTTTTGCTTAAGTCGAGGGTAGCCTGATTAACCGGTTCTTTTCGAAGTTTTTTCGAAGTAATTGAAGGCCTGTGATTTTATAGCGACAGTCGGGCGTCCTCGAGTCACGTTAGTTTGGCTGGTACAGCCTTATGACCGTAGTCTTTGTGTTTGGCCGGAGCCTTTTAGTCCTCGAGTGAAGTAGTTTCGGCGTCTATATCGAGGGTATGCCTTTTTAGGGGTCTTATAAGTTCGGATATATAGCCTTAACTTTAAGATTGGGATTGTGCCTTTTGTGAGGCCTTACAGATTTTAACATGCCTTACTTTGAGGTCTTATAGAGAAGTTACTTGGTACAAGAATGGTTCATGCTTTGCTTGAGGTCTTACAAATGAGTTACTTGGCACAAGAATGGTTCATGCCTTGCTTGAGGTCTTACAGTTTCGACAATACCTCGTGGAGGTCTTACATTTCCTAGCATAGCCGCATGGGGGGCTTTTGGGCTCGAGATTGCCCTCTTGGGGTCTTACGGTCTTGAGTTACCGATTGCTCGAAGGGAAGACAGTCGGCGACAGTCCCCGAGACGTCGATAGTTTTTTGGCTCTGGAGCCATTCTTTTTGTGAACTCGGTGCTGCCTCATCGAGGGCTTACGAGCTCGAAGTTTCTGACCCGGAGCTCATATGGCCTCGAGTTTTGGCGTCAATCTCCGTGTGTTCGGGAAATTTCTGGCTCTGAAGCCATTTTTGTTAAATTGGCGTACTTCTTTGAAACGTAAAGCGTTTTGATGGAGGAGAAGATATTATTTGATAACTTGGCACAAGTATACATGTTTTTGCCGTCGGGGGCTCAATTATTCTATGCGGACACGGTTCGTTCGAACGTTTGGCCCGATACATCATTTTCCTACTGAGACCCTTTTTGGCTTATCTTGGCTTCTCCGAGAGGGTGATCTTCACGGGAGGATGCCCCCCAGTATTTGAGGTTGATTGAAGAGAAGCCTTGAATACTTGTTGAGTTTTCCTTAGGTAGCAGTAGGTGTTGTCTCGTTAAAAACCTTGCCGGTAAAACCCTTCTTGGGATAAAACACGGTCGAAGGAAAAGAGCGCAACGCATGCTTTGAAACCTAAGGTCTTCAAGTTGGATATGCTTTGGCGTCTTTCATCGAACTCCTTAGCTATAGTAGCGTTTGAGCATTGATGTGTTCCAATTGCTCGGAAGCTGTTCGCCTTCCATGGTACCGAGCTTGTAAGATCCTTTACCGACCACCCCCAGGACGCAGTACGCTCCTTCCCAATTCTGCCTAGCTTTCCTTCATTAGGGTTTCGAGTGTTCAAGTGACTTTCCTCAGGACCAAGTCCCCGACACCGAAATGTCGGAGGTTGGTTCTCCTATTGTAGTACGTTTCGATCCTTTGTTTTTGGGCGGCCATTCGGACCAACGAAGCTTCTCTCTTTTCATCCAGTAGCTCGAGAGCCGTTGTCATGGCTTTGTTGTTTGAGCCTTCGGTAGCGTGTCGGACCCTGGCACTTGGTTCCCCGACCTCGGCCGGTATCAAAGCCTCGGCGCCATATACCATAGAGAAAGGCGTTTTTCCTGTGCTTGTTTGGAGTTGTTCGATATGCCTATAGTACTTCGGGTAATATTTCTCTCCATTTTCCCTTTGCACTTTCTAACTTTTTCTTTAAGTATTGAATGATGGTCTTGTTTGTGGACTCGGCCTGGCCGTTCACGCATGGGTGGTAGGGTGTTGACAGGATTCTTTTGATTTTATGATCCTCGAGGAACTGTGTTACTTTGCTTCCGATGAACTGCTTCCCGTTATCACATGTTATCTCAGAATCCGAATCGGCACATGATATGGTCCCAGATGAAGTTAATGACTTCTTTTTCTCTTATCTTTTCGAAGGCCTGCGCTTCCACCCATTTCGAGAAGTAGTCATTCATAAACAAAATAAATCGAGCTTTACCTGGTGCTGTCGATAGAGGTCCTACAATGTCCATTCCCCACTTCATGAATGGCCACGGCGACAAGACCAAATGTAGCTGTTCACCGGGTTGGTGAATCATTGGGGCAAATCTTTGGCATTTGTCGCACTTACGGACGAATTCTTTGGTATCTTTCTCCATGATGTCCCAATAGTAGCCTGCTCTGATTATTTTTTGGATTAGGGAATCAGCACCGGAGTGATTTCCGCACGTGCCCTCATGGATTTCCTGGAGCACGTAATCTGTGTCTCCCGGCCCCAGACATACTACTAGAGGCCCATCAAAGGTTCTCCTGTACAGAGTTTCATTTTCGTCGAGCGAGAATACGGGCTGCTTTGGTTCGCAGAGCCCTCGATTCCTTTGGGTCCGCAGGTAGCTTCCCACTTTTCAAGTAATCGATATATTTGTTTCTCCAATCCCATGTTAGGCCGGTGGGGTTGATCTCGGCATGGCCTTCCTCGACCACTGATTTGGATAGCTGAACGACAACCCCGGGAAGTAAGTCATCTTCCTCGACAGATGACCCCAGGTTAGCGAGGGCATCGGCCTCGCTATTTTGCTCTCGCGGTATGTGGACCAAGGTCCATTCTTTGAAGCGGTGCAGTGTGACTTGAATTTTGTCTAGGTATCTTTGCATCCTGTCTTCTCGATCCTCGAAGCTCCCATTTACCAGATTTACTACCAAAAGGGAATCACATTTTGCTTCAATGACTTCTGCTCCTAGGCCTTTGGCCAATTCCACACCTGCAATCATAGCCTCATACTCGGCTTCGTTGTTATTCAATTTCGTAGTTTTTATAGACTGCCTAGTTATGCTGCCCGTAGGTATCTTCAGGACTATACCGAGTCCGGATCCTTTCACGTTCGAGGCACCTTCGGTGAACAAGGTCCATACCCCCGAAGATGTGCCCATTTTCAGTAGAAGTTCTTTCTCTACCTCGGGCACGAGGGCAGGTGTGAAGTCGGCCACAAAATCCGCCAGAATTTGGGACTTGATAGCCGTACGGAGTTGGTATTCGATATCGTATCCCTCAAGTTCGATTGCCCATTTGGCCGGTCGGCCCGACAGTTCGGGCTTATGCAATATGCTTCGGAGAGGATATGTTGTTAAAACACAAATACGATGGCATTGGAAATAAGGTTTTAACTTTTGAGATGCACTTATTAATGCAAGAACTAACTTTTCCAGATTGGTTATTAATGCAAGAGCTAACTTTGATATAGTTACACATGCATTTAATTTAACATCATTAGATTCAAATGTTTTTTTACATTCTTAAATTTTGGTTGGAGAGAGTAATATAATGGGATTTAACTCCCCTCCGTTTCCTAGTCTCTCCATTTCTCCAAGTTCCTACTTGGATTAGAGACACTTGTCATGGTTAAAAATAAATGGATGAGATTTAATTGAATAAAATAAAACCCTAACTATGGTTAAAGTATTTAATTCCTTCCTTTATCCATTCCTAAATAATATCTTTTGCAATCTCATAATTATAGCTACATATTGTCTAAGATTTCTTCACTCTTTCAGGTGGTAATTTTCTTTCACTTCTACAAAAATGTAATTTTCTTTCCGCGAGTTTTTTTTTTTTACTTTTACAAAATCTTCTTACATTATCATTAAAAAATAAAAAATATTAGAAGTATGTTCTAACATTTCCAATCTTGGACCAATTTCAAAGCAACCTTTTTTCAACTTAGACGTGTAAAAGCATCTGCATCAACATTCCCAAAGAAGTAAAATCGAAAGTATCATGAATTTTTTTCTTTGAGATTTATATGAAGAAAAACTTGAGCAGTTCTTCCCCACAATAATAGAGCTGTCAAGCTATGCGTCTCCTTTGGTTTTCTAGGTGAACACCAGACCATCAATTATATGCATGAGATAATTTCAAAGGGAATATAGATCAACTGCTCAGTCGCTTCAGTAATGAAAGAGCGCGGCAAGACAAATTCACCAACACAAAAGTCATCCATCCTCTTGCTCATTCACAACACAGAAATACCAAAGTCATAATAATTTTTAATATGGAAGCATTTATAAACTACACTCCAAAGCTGGAAACAGTCGTTGATTTTTTTGGAAGAAATAGAAGTTCTGAAATCATCTTTGTGGTGACAAGTTATATTGCTATGCATCCTTCGTTCTTTCATGATATTGACGATCAATCGACTCGGTTGCTAGGAAGAATGCGGGCTCAACATAAACTAAGGCGCTGGGTAGATCGTAGATTGCCGGGCTTGAATTCGATTCTAAGTCGGGTGACCTGATCCCGCTAAGCAAGAACTGCTACCGACACCGACTCTATCTTAACGACCAGTTTGCCCCTGGACATTCCGCTAAGTCTAGTTGACAAGTTTCCTTTTTTAACTCTGTAAACAAAACAAGCCCTTAGTCAAGAGGTTGAAACACGCGGGCATACTCCTTGCTTCTGGGGACATTGATCCAAAGCTCGAGTACGGTCCGTGCGCCGCTGGAACACAAGCTTTACCAGCCAAGCCAACACCACTTTAGTGCAAACCAGAAGGACTTACGCTGTTGGATGTTGCTCAGTCCTGCTATAACCTTGAGAGTACTTGTTTAAATTATGAAATGAAATATCCTGCAAGTAAAATAATTCATATGAGGGTATTATTTAAAAAAAATAAGGACATAAAATCGCAAAAATAAATTATACTAACTCTTAGGAGTTGAGATAGACTTCCATGAGAGGTTAGCTGGGACGATTCTGAAGAATACTATGGGTAAGAATTTCCTTCTCTCAATCCCTATCATGTAAAGAGAAAAATAAGCTTACACAATACCACACAAGGAATAAAATATAGTTGTTATGACATACCGTATTCGTTGTGGCATTAGACAATGGCGGACATGGTGCTTGGAGGCCTGCAAGGTGACTTACATGTTGGACAGTTTGCAATGGAGGAGATACTTGCGATTGAATCTTATTCTTCTTCTTCCTGGTCTTTTCCACAAAACTCTTTGGTCGAGTATTGGAGCGACGAGTTGGTTGCTTCTTCTTTAACCCTGTCACCTTTGTGACATTTAAAATAAGGTTTTAACTTTCGAGATGCACTTATTCATATTCATGCTCTTCTGAATCAAATTCCATACCAAGTTTTGTAGGCTCAAATAAATGAGAAACATCCATATGTTCATTTTGAGATGGGATCTCCATAAATCTACTACCATTAAACAGGAGAAAGTAAGACACATATTATAAGTGAACACTTACTTTGTAGTAGTTTTTACATGACACTCGACTTATAAAGTAATTATGAGGCATAGTTCCTGCGAACCCCAAATTTTTTATTTGATTGAAACAATTCAGCAAGCAATAATGAAAGAGAATGGTGCATAACAATATACTAGTTTGACGATCGATTAACCTTGATTCATCAGATATTCAAATCTAATTTATTTGTAAGTTAAACTGATAAAGTTCTAAATTTACTTGCTTTCAAGTCAAAGTCTTGTATACCAATGAACAAAATAGTTTAGTTCTGAAATTCCACACCAAAAGATTCAGTCCATTCTTCCCATACCAAAAAATTCATGACTTAGTAATTTTCACAAACACATGGTATACATTCTTTTACTCGATAATTGCCACAACAAGAAATGCACAAAAATATATAACTTCTAAGGAATAGAATTAATGTGTAAAGAAGAACCTGGCGAGAATTTCAGAGCAGTTCTTTCCAGAAAAATGAAGTTCCACGACTTGCTATCTTGTTCTCTGTTTTTCCACTTGTTGTGTTTTTCTCTGTTGATTTTTAACTTCAAAGTCAGAATGATTTTGTCTGCTACCATAATTTTCGGTGTTTCCTTCAGAGCAGATGTATTTGGCGCGTAGAGGGAGAAATTATGGGAAGTTCTAGCGCTAAAAGATATTATTTAGGAATGGATAAAGGAAGGAATTAAATACTTTAACCATAGTTATGGCTTTATTTTATTCAATTAAATTTATTTTTAACCATGACAAGTGTTTCTAATCCAAGTAAGAACTTGGAGAAATGGAAAGACTAGGAAATGGAGGGAAGTTAAAGGCATAAGTGACTATATGGTTCGCATTGGATGTTCTCATCATCTCAAATACTTATAAAAAAAAAAAAGGTTAGGTACCTATGCCCTAAATAGCAATTCGGCAGGTTGAAGCATGGTGAGGAAACCACAGCCAGCAACCTAAAATTGATTAAAAATTATATTTGCCTCTATCCAATATTCTTTCATATCGCTGTCTATAGTTCAAATGCGTCAAAGGGTATCTTCCAAGGAGGTTGTTACATCCCTTTTTAGACAATGAGTCCGACATTTTCTAATTTTGTACTTGATTTTAGGTGGAATATATCTTCTTGTCTTGGTTGAAGGGCAAATAATGAGCTAACTATGTGTTAAAAACTTATATATTAAACTGAAATAGGTAGATTCAGACCAATGTGGCATGTGCAGCTCCTACCCAGCAACTATCCACTAGTATCGAGAGTTGGTCAGCACTCGAAAAATTGTATTCAAAAATAAATTTTAGGCTAAGTAATATTTATACTTTTAGCTCACCTCATCAAAGATATCTTGATGTAACTGTAGATTTAATAACCTAATAGTATAAAGCAAATAACATGCTATAACAGATTGTTTAAAAAAAATTGTACAAAGAACAAAAGATCGAGGATGAAAAGAACCCTCATAGTAAGTATGTAATATGAAAACCGAATTTAGAAAATTTCACGAACTTAAGTCACATAGATAGCACATAATTATCAACTAGATCAAATAAATAAAAAGATATTAGAACGTAAATTTTCTTCAAGATGACTCTGTCCAGATTAGAAGAAATGAGCTATTATAAGATTTGCATAAATAATAATTAGGGGAAAAAAATTCAGAGACAAATATATGATTGAAGTTTATGGATTCTTACAGCGACACGTCAAGTTAATACACAATAATAATTAGGTTCAGTCCTATAATTTAAGATATTTAGTGAATTTTTAAATGCATATACTGAGCTCGAAAGCTAAGTTCACGTGAACCTATAAGTTTACCATAGATCCGTCGTCTTAAAAATTCTACCCTATACGCGCAGAGGCGTATCCAAGTTTAGCAATATGGGTTCACGTGAACCCATACTCCGCTCCCTAAATCATGTATAACAATGTTTTATTTTTTCAAAATTACTTAAATATATGTGCGTGAACCCGTGCTCAAAGACTATATTATAGTGCAATTATTATTGGGTGCACCTCTACAAGTGAAATTGGCAGTTCAAATCACACTCTGAACAATCTCGTTTTCAGCACCGAGTATAGATGTGTATGTGAAAATTACTAAAATTTCAAAAAGAATATAATTTTGAACCTATAAATATAAATTCTAGATTCACCTCTTCAAAATGTGCACCCATCCTCTTGAAATCCTAGATTCGCCTCTGTATACGCGCACCATGATGCTTGTAATTAGTAACAGATTGGAGCCAGAGGAGGATCTAGGACGATTTCTACTGTTCATGTGAACGCATATAAAGTCGATGCCCCATAACATCAAAAATATCAATCTCAAGGATGGTAGTAAGAGGCATCTCATTCTTCTTGAAAATCCCACCGGATCTTTGGCAATCATCACACCGCTTAACAAGTTCGCTAGACGGACGTGATTTGATAGGTTTTGGCATCGAATGAAGAAGTTTGAAATTCTAAAGTTCATTAAGCTTGGAATGGGGTGCGATTCATGAACTCGACGTTGTTTGATGTGGTTTGAAGCCGAGCAGGTCCGCGTTATGTTTTGGGACGTGTTGGTATAATTGGTTGAGGTCCCGAGGGCCTCGGGTGGATTCCGGATGGCCAACGGATCGAATTGGACTTAGCAGATGTGCTAAAGCAGCAGTCATCTGATGCAACCGCACCTTGTTTGAATATATGATACATACACTACTGGAAAATTCACCTATGGCTACGGATGGAAGACCGTTCCAATAGGTAAGAAAACCGTTGCCATAGATCTATTGCTACGGTTCAGTGCCCGTTCCACAAGCTGGCGTGCCTATAGAGCTTATGGAACGGTTCGGATAACCGTTGCTATAGTACAGTCTATCGCAACGGTTTTCCCTCTTCCTGTTGGAACGATTATTCTCATCAACTGCAACGGTTACTTTCCGTTACCATAAAGTCAAATGCAACGGACCATAACCGTTACTATATCTATTAAACCATTACGGGCATCACAGAAATGGCAACGATTTCTTTAAGAAATTGCAACGGTTGAACTATCTATTGCAACGGTTTTTAGAATATTTTGGAACGGTTTGCAGGTCCTATTGCAACGGTTGAACTACCTATTGTAACAGTTTTTACAATATTTTGGATTATTGCAGGTCCTATGGCAACGGTTTTGTTAGCTGTAACAGTTTCATTGAATTAAAAATAGTGCCCCCTGTTGTAAATAAAGATTTACATATATATATACAATAAACAATAAAAACTAAAATTTATATAAATAACAAAATAAAACTATTCATAATCCAAATTGTCTAACAAGCTAATAATAAATCCATAGATAGTGATGAAACCAATAAGTACATACATTTAATATTTCAAGATCAAAAGTTTAAAATGTTTTGATAACAAACATTCTTAGAAACCGCCACATGCATCTACAACAATCAACAATTCAAAAATCTCTTAAGTAAGATCAAGATCTTCATCACTGCCTTCATCACTACCTCCGCCTTCCATTGCTTCATCTACTCCACCTACAAAAGAGTATAAATAAAGTCATTATCCCTTCAAGAGAATCCTATCTAAAAATTCTCTTAGATAAAACAACCCAAATGTCACTGCTATCTAAACGCGCTTTGACTTTATAAATCCCTAATACTTTTCTTATAGCACCAGATTATGAAACAGCAAGAATTCCAATGTGTCTAACAAGTGCATCAACAACAATAACATTCTCTTGTTGGACAGCTTCAGCACATGCCAGAAAGAGAGAGAGCGAGAGAGCACATAGTGTTTTGAATGAAACCAAAGGAAAAATCATAGCAATCACTTCATCAGCTAGTGTTTTGAATGCAACCAGAATCAGCTTCTATATTGTATATTATCTGGCAACGACTTTAAATTACGTTCTTCTTATGTCTCATTGAGCTTGAATATAATTCAGTGTTTCTATAGGCAAGTAAAGCTGCAATGATTAGTTTCTATGAGACGTTGCAGGTAGAACTTGGGACACAAATTGGGATTACAATAGGTACTAGTTGAATCTGAGTTGACCAAAGGCAAATTTCTCACAACAGAGGGCAAGCTGGAAGTAAAAAAATAAGTAATGAGAGATGTAAGCTACTTCTTTTCATTTAAGGATATGATAATTCTTGATTTCCCACTAGATATTTAACATCACTTTTCAGGTCAAATGTCACACAATAAAATCTTTGAAAATTGTTCTACCTACAACAGTACAACTAGTATTACATGATTCAAATTTCATCAAATTCAAATCCAAAAAACAGAGTTTGCTAAACCGTCCGAAAGGAATAAATGGTAATGAATATTCAGGTATCCAGGGGTACTTTGCAAATACTCTTGATAACCACGCTAACACATAACAAAATCATAGCCAAGGAAAAAAATAAACAACAGATTCTAATACAAAGCTAGAATTAAATAGCCCAAAAACCAGAGAGAACTTACAGGGAAGTACACATAAAATTCCAAAGAAAATCAAAGTGGTGCCATTATATTAAACTAAAAACAGAACTAAAACATGTTACACAAGCACATTTCAACAAAACTAGAACTCAGATTTTTTCAATAGCTAAACCCCAAAAATAATGATTCTTTTAAATGCTCAAAATCTCATTACTATCAACAAAAGAAACTAAATAAAATATAAAAAAAGAGAGAGCGAGAGAGAGCACAATGGTAGAGAAGCAACATAAAAAATAAAAAAAAAGGAGAAGAAGAGGAAAGAGAAGACGTGTAACATTTGCTAATGAATAACCTCGAGTGTTACTGCCAGCGGATGGACGATTGATTGGTTGAATAGCACCTTGTTGTGCAGAAGCAGCCTCGCCAGGTGCACGAGAACTGAATATTAGCATGTCAGGATCAAGTCTTAAATCGGGGTTGAGACGTTGCAGTCGTGTAACGACGTTCATCGTAATATCTTGTTCCATAGCATCTTTTTGTGCATGAGCTCTTCCAGCATTTTTTCCTTTTGTGCATTGAGCTTTTCCAGCAATCTTTATTGCATCCTCTCTTCCATATCCTCCATTTTTTGTTCCATTCTCTCATCAGTAGCATTTACAGAGGATCCAAAATCTCCTTTTTTCTTTTTAAAGAGAGTCTTGTTAACCCCTCATCCATACAATCTTACCCGACCTGGGTGCTCAGGTCCCATGATGGATGCAAATGCGTCAACTGAATCACTTCCATCTCCACTTTCTTGATTTGATTGTATTCTCTCTATTTCAGCCTACAAACCAAATGCAAGAGAATATAGTTTAAGTAAATAAAACTAAGACGATAATCAAGAACAAATAAATAATCACGACAAACGTTAAATTAGAAATTTCTTACAATTTACTAATTGTATTCTCATAAGAGCCTTTGTATACTCGACCAGGTTTTCTTTTTCTTGTCGCCACAAAGATGTCCTTACTTGATAGAGTATCCGAAGTATCAGCCATTTCCTTCTTTTTTTCCTAATAACATGAAAACTGGTATAATAATCTTTTCATGCAAAGTTAGCAAGTTCATATTTTAAGAAAAATAAGAGAAAAAATCAAACCTCTATGATTCGAGCAAAACATGTTTTGCCAGTAGTATGTGGATGCTTCAACTTTTTTCGATTCTCGATATTGGTTTCAGACGTTTTCTGCAAATAACAAGCAAAGATTGACAAGGGGCCACCTAAAATACAAGTTTTATGTATTAAAATACAACTGGACTTTGAGTTTGCTTCAACTGCCTCTGAAGCCATGAGAGTACAGTAGTGCTTCTGGACACCAGAAGCATTGTTTTAGGCTCTCGTATTAGCCCAAAGTACAGTACAGTACACTGGATTTCCATTCACCTTACTACAATAACAATTACAATCAATCTAGGGAGACAATTAGCTTCACA